AGTGATAATTTTCTTACTATAAACAAACCAGGCTAGGGACCATAAAATGTGTACATATTTTAAGAGATTTTGTTGGAAGCAAAATCAATCAGTCCCAAAAAGGTGTATGAATTGCAGGTGAAATGGATGTGTGTAGCATGTCTAGGGACACTTGACCAGTAACAATCCAGTAACCAGTCCCACTTGACCAGTATTACTTGAAAAGTTAGAGAACATCTCTTAAAATGTGTGTACACTTTTTTGGCACCCTCTGTATAAATGTGTGCATGGGTGTGTATATATGTGAACTTTTCCCCTCTCCTTTTTCATCTTCTTATCTTTACATAAAACTTAGTCTTTGCTTGTATAGCTTGGAGAGCATTGAAGATTATGGAGATAAGTCCCCTCTAAAGCATACCCCATCCCAAACCACCCCTGGTGCCACCCTTGCTTCTGTGTCTTGGCAAGGAGCACCTCACACTGAGGCTTCTTCCTCTAAGTCATTTTGTATAGCCCAGAACATCCATGTGTCTTCCCACAAATGTCCTTGAATAGAGCAGTTCAGAATGGGTTATGGGAACTGGCCAGAGATTATAATTTCATTCTCCTCCCTTCTCTTGGCATAAAGGAGCTAGAAGAGGGCCTGGAGTGTCCAATTCTGGAGAAGCCCAGGCCAGCAAAGGACAAATAAGGGAAAACCCAGCATCTTCTGAGGAGCGGCACAACGTCCAAATGCCCAAGCTAAACGGTCTCCCTCCATTATACTATTAAGGAGAAGTGCTAATAAAAAACAGAAAAGGGAAGAAAAATTTCATTCCCCCAAAAATTTCTGCCCTAGCTACTGTTTTCACACTTGTATGTGTTATGTGACACTTAATTTCACAACGTTCACTGACACTCTTTAAAAGAAATGCTTCTCTGACCCTGTTCCTCATTTTCTCTCTCCTTCTGGGCATGCTTATTATGAGAGTCCCCTTAGTTTTTTTCTTCTCCTTAGGCCAGTCTTACAAAATCCTGCAACGCTGTCCATTTCAATCATCCTTTTCCAATCACATTTTATGGTTCTGGGTTTTTGTTATAACTAGGAAAAATAAGACATATACTCTGTGTACAACCCTGAGAGACTCCTTTTTTTTTTTTTTTTTTTGAGATGAAGTCTCACTCTGTTGCCCAGGGTACAGTGCCTTGGTGTCAGCCTAGCTCATAGCAACCTCAAACTCCTGGGCTCAAGGGATCCTCCTGCCTCTGCCTGCAGAGTAGCTGGGACTACAGGCACCACAATGCCAGGAATCAGCTAATTTTTCTATTTTTAGTAGAGATGCTCTTGCTCAGGGTGCTCTGGAACTCTTGAGCTCAAGCAATCCACCCACCTCAGCCTCCCAGAGTGCTAGGATTATAGGCAGGCATGAGACACTGCACCCAGCCAGAGACTTCTTTCTTATTCTGACATGGAGGATGTAGACAGGGTTAAGCAAATGGGAGTCTTAGGTAAGAAAAGGTAACTTCCTGCATCTTCAGGGGCTAAAGCCCCCTCTGCTTCAATGCCTGGGCCTTATTGGCTCAGGGGTCATTACTCCTGGTTGTGACCAGTTATTATGGAAAGTAGGTTCTCTTCACCCCCACCCTCATCATTTTTCATCAAATCTAAATGAACTAAGGGCTCCTGAAGGCCTTAGGCTGGGCATTCCTTGGGATGAGGTCCCTTTAGGGTCACCATCTAAAAACCAGTAGTGACGCTATTGCTGCCTTTTCATTTTTCCTAATATGTCTCCAGCCTCCAAAGTAGAGGATCTGCCTTTGTGTGTGGTATTAGTAAGAAAAGCTACAAACCAGATCCAATCCTCTCTCACTCTGGTACATCCAAGGGGTATGCATGTGATTTGGTCTCAGTCAACAAAATGCTCTTTCCCTGCACTTGGAAATCTGGAATGAGAAAGGCCGGAGAACAGAGATGGGAATACCACTACCAGAGATCAATCATGGGGTGGACAAGCTGGAATATTCCTGCTAAAAGATTGCTGTTGTGGCTCTTGGGGCTTGTTTTTTCATTCCTAACTGTTCTCAAGTCTCATGCTTCAGCTCCCATCTACTCTGTCACTTCCATGATAGTCTCTCAATAAGTCCCTTTTACATAAGTTAGCCAGAGTAGTTCTCTGAAGCTTGTAACCAAAAATGCTCCCAGGGACAACAGAGCGTCTCTCACCCCTGTGGTTTCACCAGTGGAGAAAGGAATCACTTGGAGGAGCAACCTTGAAATTGACTGTATTTCTAGGCTTGCCTCACTATCCTGGCTCCAGCTTCTCAGAATTGGGCACAGGGAAGAGATGGCTGGCTCCAGGACTCTCCAGTGACAAGCTAATGCCTGTACTTGTGGTCAAGGGTTGACTTGGAACAGAAGCAGAGGTAAATGGACTCTCAGACTGCTGGAAAGTTTCAGCTGTGTACTCCTGCCCCCCCCCATCTTTTCTTTTTTGTGGAAATTTCCATTCCTGGTAAGGATGGACAGTGGAGGAACAAATCTTTATTAAAACAATGTCATCCCCCCAAAACATCACCTCAATCATTGTGTGGATCTTCCTCTATAGGAGTGGTGGTGGCTGGAATTTTGCATCCAGACACTTAGTGCAGACTTCTCAGGCCAGCTTGGAGGTGGTGATGTTTGCATGTGGTTAGTTAGGACTAATTAACAGGGTGTAGCTATCAGATAAGAAGATTCACTGGCAGAACTTGACTTTGCATCTTTGTATTTGAATTAAAGAAGTGAATTAGTGGGCAGCACCTGTGGCTCAAAGGAGTAGGGCACTGGCCCCATATGCTGAAGGTAGTGGGTTCAAACCCAGCCCCAGCCAAAAACTACAAAAAAAAAAAAAGTTAATATGTGAAAAACAAATGAATTTCAAATACTCATTGGAGTACAGCGGGTTTTCTAACGCAAAACTCAGAAGCTAGAAAAAGACAATATTAACAAATGTGACTGCATAAAAACATCAAATTTCTAAAAAGTTATGTTTCAGTTTTTTTGAGACAGAGCCTCACTCTGTTGCCCATGCTAGAGTGCAGTGGTATCATCATAACATGTGCAACCTTAGATTCCTAGGTTCAAGTGATCCTCTTGTCTCAGGTCCAGTGTAGCTGAAACTACAGGCATGTTCCACTACATTTTTTTGGTGATGGGGGACTTGTTCTTGCTCAGGCTGGTCTTAAACTCTTGGTGCAAAGTAATCCTCCCCCTCCCAGCTCAGCCTCCCCAAGTGCTAGGAGTACAGGTGTGAGCCACCACACCGGGCCCAAATTTCTAAATTTAATAAATCAGCAATGGTAGCAACTGTTATAACAAAGAGATAATTTTCTTAGTATGCAAAGCACTCTTACAAATAAATTCGATTTTTTTTTGGAGACAGAGCCTCAAGCTGTCCCCCTGGGTAGAGTGCCGTGGCATCACAGCTCATAGCAACCTCCAACTCCTGGGCTCAAGCAAGTCTCCTGCCTCAGCCTCCCAAGTAGCTGGGACCACAGGTGCTTGGCTATTTTTTGTGGTTGCAGCCGTCATTGTTGTTTGGTGGGCCCAGGCTGGATTCGAACCCACCACCTTAGGTGTATTGGCTGGCGTCTTAGCCACTTGAGCCACAGGTGCCAAGCCAAAAGAATTCAATTTTAAAATGGGAAAAAGATATGAACATAATTGTTCACAATAAGTGAGATTAAAGTCTCCAATACACATGAAACATCTTTCAAACACTCGTAAATTAATTAAATTTTTAATGTAGTCATCTGTTTATGGGTGCCTCCAATAGCCACTGTGTACAAACGTACACCATTAAAGATGTCTTTCTTTCTATTCTTTGATTTCTGACTTGGGTTTCCAGTTTCTTACTAGTTTTCACGCAGTGTTGGGAGCCCTTTCTTCAACAGCGCAGACCTTGACAGAGGCCAGCCTCCTATTCCACCAAGCCCCTCTCCAAACGCTAAGATTGACAAGTAAGCAACACTGTGATAAGCACTAAAATAAAGCAGTGGCCATGCGTTGTGGGTCATGCCTGTAATCTCAGTACTCTGGGAGCCATGGAGGGAGGATCATACAAGCTGAGGTGTTCTGAGACCTGCCTGAGCAGGAGAGAAAACTCAGTCTCTGCTAGGGGGAAAAAAAAAAAAAACTAGCCAGACGTTGTGGCGGGCGCCTGTAGCGCCGACTACCCAGGAGGCTGAGGCAAGAGGATCACTTGAGCACAAGAGTTTGAGGTTGCTGTGAGCTGTGACAGCATGGAAAAGCACTCTACCGAGGGCTATAGAGTAAGACTGTCTCAAATATAAATAAATAAATAAAATGAAGGAGTAGAGCAGGTGTGCTAGGGTCAATGTCTCTGCGTAGCAGGGGGAAGATAGGGCGGACTCCACAGAGCGGAGGAAAGAAGGTGCCCTCCCGCACAGGGGGCGGAGCACAGCTGGTTCACCACGTGCGAAAACAAAGGGTGTGTGAAGGCCAGGTATGCATAGCTGAACTTGGGGGGAGAGCCGCTGGCCTTGGGCTACGAGAGGCTCTTCCTTCGCGAATTCCTTTCCTGCTCAGGATCTGCTCTCGCTGGTCAGTAGGGATCCTAATAATACTATTACCTGACGCACGCTTCACAGCTGAAAAGGACCTTCAAGTACGTCCATCCAACTTTCGTGTTTTATAGGCCAATATGCAGGGGCCTTAGAGAATTAAAATGTCATAGTTCTGGCCAACACTGGGGTCCTGACGGCCAGTCTGCGGATTGCCTGCCTCCGGACCTCTAGCACTGCCAAGGCTACCCACCCTACCTGCCCGCGGTCCGGCTTGTCTACCGGTAGACTACGACTCCCACAATGCCCGGGACCCAGCCTCCCTCCCGCCGCCTGGCTGGACGCTGTCTCCGCCAGTAGGAAAGCAGAGTTTCCAGGGATCGTTCTCGGCAGCCAATGAGCGCGGTGGTGGGTGGACCCCGCCCGTCCATTGTTCTCGGTGCCCCACGGGCTAGAGCAAAGGTGGACCCCGAGGGTCCGGGCGGAGCGCGGGGGCCGCCAGGGCAGGACCTGGTCTCAGGATAGGTGAGCCAGAGAGAAAGACCTGGGCCTGAGGGGACCCAGGGCAGTAGCCTGAGGCTAGAGAATAACGGGCCTGGAGCCAGATGCTGGCAGCTTGCTGGGGGAGGGGTATCGGGGGCGCTGTCGATGTCCCGCGGGCCGGGACAGTTTGGCAAGCCCACCCGGACTCTTTTCCCTGACCCAGAGCTCCTTGCATATGCCCTGGGAAGCTCAGGGTTTGGACTGGAAGGGATATTCGACAGTGTCTCGCGCAGCCTCCTCGTTTTACACAAGGGGAAACTGAGGTTCAGAGGAGGTGTGTCTTACCTCAGGTCACCCAGCGAATTTGCTAACTAGGCACGGTTTTCCTGGGCTCTGGGGTAGGAAACAGTTCTGTGTTCTGTTATGCCTGTGTTGCTTTTAGTTACTTGGGTTGATACACGTTGTGTGCTTCGGTTTTCCCATTAGCTGGTTTATTTTTTGCTTTTTTTTTTTTTTGAGGGCGATTATCTGAGTCTTTATGATGTAGTAATAAGTAATAATTGTTAAACTAATCTTTTGTTGCTTTTATAGTATTTATTTTAAGTCGTTTGTAATTGCACTGCTCTTAGTATTTTGCAGAGTTGCCAGCCAGGTCTTTTTTTCTTCTGTGTCTGTTCGTTTTTAAACAGAGGCCAACCTCCTATTCCACCTGGGCAAGAACTCATCTCTACAAAAAATTAAGAAAAAAAAATTAGCTGGGCACAGTGGCATGCACCTTAATGTGTCTATGGTTTTTATGCCTGGTAGGTTTTGTTTTTATCTATTGTTTTCATATTAGGAGGATTACCTTTAATCATTAATGACTAATAATCTTTGCCAGTGTGACTTTTTTAAGGTTTAAAAATACATCAACAGCAGAGTGTGTGAATCTTAAATTTCACATGTATGTTCTTGTGCAACCTTTGCCAAAGATGTAAAAAGTTCCCAGCACCTCAGAATGCTCCATTGGGCCCCTGTCCAGTCGTTACCTTCCAGAGGTGGCCTTCATTACGTTAGCATAATTTCCAATACATTCTACTGTATGGAAATGCCATAATTTATTAACCAGCCCTCTGTTGCTGAATTTTTAAAGAGCCAATTTTTGCAATCAGAAACAGTGGTATGGTTGAATGTCCTTGCCAATAAAATCTTTTTGCGAAGATGACTTTTCTGGGTTTTGTTTTTTTCTTTTTTTGAGATAGAGTCTGACTCTGTCACCCAAACTAGAGTGCAGTGACATCACCATGACTCACTGCACCCTCAAACTCCTGGATTCAAGTGATCCTCCTGCCTTAGCCTCTGGAGTAGATGGGACTACAGGTGCATGCCACTGTGCCCAGCTAATTTTTTTTTCTTAATTTTTTGTAGAGATGAGTTCTTGCCCAGGCCAGCCTCCCAAAGTGCTAGGATTACAGATATGAGCCACCACACTTGGCCCAGATGGTTATTTTTTAATATAAATTAATAAGAGGCCAAGACTGGATCTAATATGTTTAAAAGTGTAAGCTGAGCTTGGTGGCTGATGCCTGTAATCCAGCTACTCAGGAGGCTGAGGCAGGAGGAGCTTCACACCAGCCCGGGCAACAGAACAAGATTCTATCTCTTAAAAAAAATATAAACCTTCATACTTTAAAGTATGGTAATAACACGATTGAGATACTGCCTTCCTTTCAATGTAGTTCATAATGCCTTGTCATCTGATCCATTGCTACTACTCAAAGTGTCACCATAATGTAAGAAGGTGGTCACTGAGGTTGTGTGACTAAGTTGCATGTTAGGTCAAGGTCACTTGTTCAGCAGCAAGTCTGAATTGACTTAGGGCAGGATAACTCAGGCTTGGGGTTTGAGGGGGATGGTTTTGGATGATTTTGCAATTCTTTTTCTTTCTTTTTTTTTTTTTTTTTGAGACAGAGTCTCACTTTGTCACCCTTGGTAGATTGCTGTGGCATCATAGCTAACAGCAACCTCAAATTCTTGGGCTTAATGATCCTCTCATCTCAGCCTCCCAAGTAGCTGGGACTACAAGGCGCCCACCACAACACCCAGCTAATTTTTTAGAGACAAGGTCTCACTCTTGCTCAGGCCAGTCTTGAATGGGTGAGCTCAGGCAGTCCACCCATCTCAGTCCCAGAGTGCTAGGATTAGGCCTGACCCACCTCCACTCAGCTGATTTTGCATTTCTAATATTCATTCTTTGGCCTTTTGAAAGAACAATGATGTATTTTCTGTATCTTCTCTTACCATAGGGAGATATATTTTTAGGAATAAGCCATTTTCTCCTTTAAGAGGGACAGGAAATGTCTGTTGATTGCAAATGTGAAGATCACTTGGTGGCCTGACTTAAGCTGTTGTGGCTTAGATTGCTTTAGGATACTCTACTTATGGCTTCTGGTTCTCTTTCTTGTTTCTCAGCAGGACTACTTATTGAGATTTGATGAGGAAGGTGTCTTCTCAGAGAGCCTGGCTGGAGAAGACTGAGGTTCAAGGCCTGAGTGATTGCTCCAGGAACGTGGATAATGGCTGCAGAGATGCCAAGAGTTACCACTCCCCTTAGTCCCTTGGTCCAGGTACCTCAAGAAGAAGAGGGACAGGAGAAGGAGGTTACCACTATGATCCTGGAGGATGACTCCTGGGTACAGGAAGCTGTACTGCAGGAGGATGGCCCTGAGTCCGAGCCCTTTCCCCAGACTGCTGGCAAGGGCAGCCCCCAGGAGGAAGCAGTGGCTGGGGCACCACAGGGTGCACTTGGCCGCCTCCGAGAGCTGTGTCGGCGCTGGCTGAGGCCAGAGGTGCACACTAAGGAACAGATGTTGACCGTCCTGCCAAGGGAAATTCAGACCTGGCTACAAGAGCACAGGCCTGAAAGCAGCGAAGAGGCAGTGACCCTGGTGGAAGACTTGACCCAGACCCTTCAGGAAAGTGGTGAGCCACAGAACTTCATAGGGAGAGGGTAGGAGCACCCATCCAAGGTGGTGGAGTGTGGTGTTTATGGAGAAGGCAGAGGTGGTATCTAGGACAGAGTGGGGAACGATGTCATCCCTCTACTTTGCAGATAGCTTATTCATCACCCTTTTAATGCCTTTTTAATTGTGTGAAGTGGTAGTTCTAGAACTTCAGTATTAGAGGGGTTTAGAGGACTATTCTTGGACAATATTTACACACATTGTTTTTACTTACATGTTTATTTGGAGTGTTGGGGGAGTTGGTGGAGGTTAGGGGGAGGGGCTGAATACCCCTATAAGCAATCTCTTGGCACCTTCTCTTGGTTATATGATAAAACCTCCAAATGGTTCCAACAATTTTTTTTTTTTGAGATAGAGTCTTACTTTGTCACTTTTGGTAGAGTGCTGTGGAATCATACCTCACAGCAACCTCAAACTCATAGGCTCAAGTGGTTCTCTTGCCTCAGCTTCCCAAGTAGCTGGGACTACAGGTACCTGCCACAATGCCCAGCTACTTTTAGAGATGGGGTCTCGCTCTTCCTCAGGCTGGTCTGGAACCCATGAACTCAGGTGATTCGCCCGCTTTGGCTTCCCAGAGTGCTAGGATTACAGAAGTGAGCCACTGTGCCTGGCCTAGCAATTATTAATATAAAAACCAAATAATATGATTTTCTTCAAAATGATTGTTTTTTGTTTTTTTTGCCAGGGCTGGGTTTGAATCCGCTACCTCCAGCATATGGGGCCAGCGCCCTACTCCTTTGAGCCACAGGCGCCACCCCAAAATGACAAACCATCTAATAACTAGGGATTTTTTTATGGTATAGTCATCCTGAGCTCCTAAAAGAATAATTCAAAACTTTAGCTTTTGCCTCCTTTGTTACAAAAGTTTTAGGATCCTGGCATGCCATTTAACTACTCTGTCTCCATTTTGGTTTTCCGTTGTTAACCATTTGATTACCAGATATTTACTTAAGATCTATCTGTGCCCCTAGGAATATGTCAAGTCCCAGGGGATATGGCTGCCTTTGTGCTGGTAAGAACTATGGAAGTTCAGAGAAAGGAGCATTCATGTAAAGTCAGTGAAGGCTTGCTGGAGCCTGAGCAGGAAGGAGTCTAATTTGGAGACACACAGGGCAGGAAGGAAGGTATGGACCTGAAAAGAGTTGGGTTGAGGGCAGTGCCTGTGGCTCAGTGAGTAGGGCGTGGGCCCCATATACCGAGGGTGGTGGGTTCAAACCTGGCCCTGGCTGAACTGCAACCAAAAGATAGCCAGGTGTTGTGGTAGATGCTGTAGTCCCAGCTACGTGGGAGGCTGAGGCAGGAGAATCGCTTAAGCCCAGGAGTTGAAGGTTGCTGTGAGCTATGCTTGCACTCTACCAAGGGCAACAAAGTGAGACTCTGTCTCTACCAAAAAAAAAAAAAAAAAGGAGTTGGGTTGAGCAAAGTCCTAGAAGGGCAGAGCCAGTGTAGTATATTTCTTCAGGTGACAGTAGAGAGGGCTGACTCACTGGAGTAGAAAATGTGTTTTCAGGAACTTGTAGATTAAGTAGAGTTTGAGGAAGGGTGGATGAAGGCGGGACCCTCAGCAGGTTCTTGAAGTGGGGCCTGAGAGGTATGGGAGGAAGCTGAGTTTGGCAACAGGATGTAGGTTTGATTGTAGTAGGGAGAGGCTAGGAACAGGAGAGCAGCCAGGAAGCTGCCTAGTCATCAGGCACGCAGCAATGGGGTCTGCTCCTGGTACAAGTGAGAAGGAACTAATAGTAACAATGGCAAGTATTTCTCGAGCTCTTTCTGCAGGCCAGGAAATATGCTTAGCATCTAATAAGCAAAACTCATGTAAACTTCACAGCCTATGAAAATAAAACAAGATTATTATCACCAGGGAAGTTAAGTGAGTCCCTTAAGATCATGCAGCTAAGTATTCCAAATTGTATATGAAAACACTACACTGTACCCCATGTTTGCATCAATGTATACAGCTATCATTTAATTAAAAAATAAATTAAAAATAAATAAATAAAAATAAAAAAAGATCATGCAGCTAAATAGGAGGCTGAACCAAGATTTGAACTTAACATGTCTGAGGACATGGTCCATGTTGTTAAACAGTTTATCAACATGGTATGATGCCAAGTGATGATGCCAAGTGACAGTTCCTAGTAGGGTGTTAGAAGGAGGGGATGTAGACAGGATTAAGACAAAGTGACTAACTCCAGGGTATCTAGCTTGGAGGATTATGAAGACTGGGAAGGGTACCAGGCACGTGCTTTGAGAGGCTGAGGTGGGAGGATCACTTGAGGTCAAGAGCTCAAAGTTATAGTGAGCTATAATTCCACTACTGCACTCCAGCCTGAATGACAAAGCAAGACCCTATCTCTAAAGAATATATACAAAGAAATAAGCATGGGAAAGTAAGGGGAAAAGAAAGGAAAGGAAGATGGTTTGGGGCAGTGGCTACGACAACTTCTGAGGAAAGGGACTACACTGAGGGCTTCCTGTGACAAAGCCCTGCACTGGGCACATTATGTGTCCATCTCACTCAGAGTTCTGTGAGGTGAGTGGGATTGCCATTCCATAGATAGAAAATAGAAATTCAGCAAGGTCACACACCTATTAAATGATAGAGCCAAGACTCAAACTGGTTCCACATGCATTTGGTAGATTCTAAGTTTTATTCCAAGTGAAGTATTTGATTTTTTTCTTTCTTTCTTTTTTTTTTTTTTTTTTTGGCCCTGAAAAAGAACTTTTAATTTTGTTCCTTCTGTTTATAAAATTCTCTTATCCTATTTCAAAACTTTGTTTCCTTGCCTCCTAATGGATGTGACAAATCTGTAATGAACTTCAGGATCTTCACTCATATATCATAGGGGAAATAATATTTGAGGGCTGAGGAGATACCTCTGCAGCAGCTGTATGGTTGGGAGGCACAGGGCAGAGGTCAGGTCTCAGCAAGTGTCAGAGGTGATTACAGCCCTTCGCACCTGGCTTGCTATGGGGACTTTGTGCCTAGACATCCAAGATGGGGACCAAGCCAGACAAATGGGTTTGTCAGTCCCCTGACTTCTCTGCCTTTTCAATTATCTTTGCTTGTCTTTTAACAGATCCTCCCAACCTTCCCTATGGCTGCTCACAGGAGTCATGGCACACATCTTTCTCCCTTCTCAAACATTTGCTCAACAAGATCATTTGACTTCTCTTCTTTTTGTTCAGCCTGAGACTTTTGTTCACATTTACCCAGCACAGGACATTTCAAAATCTGGTATGGTGGTGGTGGTTTAATGTTTGACTAATAGGAACCTCTGGGTACTCACAAAGAATCTTACAATTCCAATTAAGATTAGACATATGTTAATAGTGACAGAGCACATCTCTATTTGTGAATGTTTCCCAAAGATGTTTTAATCCCCATAACCAGCCTTAATCCAAGCTTTTGGTATTTCCCACCTGAATTTTTGCAGCACCCTCCAGGCTGAACCTGCCTTCTGCTGCTTCTCTTTCATTACAACTTTTCCACTCCACTCAGGGCACTCTTCTACTTAAAACTCTTCATTAGTTTCCCACTGTCCACTGACCTCTGCGTTCTACTTGGAAAACATGACCAAGACCTCCCCTACAGCCTGGGCCATCCCCTTCTCCCCATTTTGTAGCCTCTGCTCCATTCAGACCGTACCTTGCCATTTCATGAACATAGCTTGTACTTTCTGGCATTTACCTTTTGCTCCTGAATTTTTGGCTTGGAGTCTCCTTGTCTCATCTCTGTGTGATAAAATCCCAGTTGTCTTTTAGGTGCCCACTAAATTCTTCATACAGCTGCCCTTAAATTCAGTCCCTCTCCCCTGTCCCCAGTTCCACACACGATCACCTCTGCTAGAAGTCATCTCTCCCTGAACATTTGGACTCTGTCTCCTTCTTCCTCTCTCCCCCTCTAACTCTCCTCTCTTTTCCATTCTCCCCACTATCATGAACCTCTGAGCCTCAGAGGTTCTGAGTCAGAAATGTTGGGCTTGGCACCCAGCACTCTGGAGTTTAAAAAGTCCTTTAGGTCAGCAGTTCCCAACCTGTGGGTCACAACCCACAGGAACTGTATTAAAGGGTTGCAGCATTAGGAAGGTTGAGAACCACTGCTTTAGGTCATCCTGGTTCAGATTCCACATTGAGAACCTCTGCACTAGATCTCCTTTTCTCAAACTTCGCAAATTCGAATCACCTAGGCACCTGGAGCCTACTCCCAAGCTTCTGATTTTCTGATTTAATGGGTATGGAGTATGGCCCAGGCAAGGGATTTTTGAAAGCCCCTGAGAGGGTTCTGTTTTCTACACAGCGAAGTTTTAGAGCTTGTTACTCAAAGGGTGGTTGGTGAACCAACAGTATTAGCATCACGTGGGACTTTGTTGGACATGTAGACAATTCAGTCTCATCCCAGCCCCTCTGAAGCAGAACTGGACAAGGTCTTCAGGTGATTTATATGCTCTTTGGAGTTTGAGAAGCACTAGCCTAGACAGAAAGGAATAGAGGTTATCAACTTCAAACCTACTGTGTCCAACCATTGAACCAAAGAGTTGCAGGTGACTGCTCCAGCCATCCCAAGCATCATCTGGCTTTCAGTGTTGCAAGCTTCCTGCCCCAGCAAAATGCTCCCTTAATGACCACAAATTAACATATACATTCGTTTTTCTTAGCCAGGAAAGGAGTGGGGAATGTTGGAGGAGTATAAAAGTATATGTCTTTTTAAAACTAAAATTCTTAGTTTCAAAACAAAATTACTTTTAATTTACTTAAATATTTGAAATGTGTATCAGACAGAACTCTTATGGAAAGTGACATAACTGTAAAGTGTTTGGCAATCCTTCATTTAAACTGATAACAGTTCATTGTTGTTTTTACCAGCAGTTAGTCTTTTAAGGAGCCAGAGTTCAGGTAGAACAATCAATACTCCCAGTTAATCAGGTACCTTCAGGTCCCTGCCATGTTTGCCAGGGC